CTGGTTTTCAGGGCCAGAAGGAAGCCCATGCAGCGACCAGAGCCCTGGATGGGGAGGCTGCCTGCATCTCTCCCCACATCTGCTTCCCACCTCCTCTGCCCTGGTAAGAGGGGTGCGAGATGCAGCGGTTTCTGAAAAGTGGCTCTATTGGCCCCCTCTGCCCTTGTGGGATAGTAACACTGGGGGTCCCTGTACACTTTCTCTTCAAGGTATCTCCCACCATTCTCTATGACTGTCCCAGTCCCTACCTCTTTCTTCTTGGGCTTAAGAGCATCCTGGGGCATGGGAAGAGGAGATGTCCCCACAGGATGAGTCAGACAGGACCAAGCAGGGCCCTGGGATGCGTTTGGGCATCAGTCCTCCTGAGGCCTCTGTATGCTGCGTACTCACTGCAATGAGGTGGGATCCTTGCTATCCCCAAAAGAAAGGGTGGCCGATGGGACCGCTGTATACAGAAAACGGGCAGGACAGGGGAGGCTGGGGAGTCTGCAGGCCATAGTCCCTGGCCCTCAAATAGTGGCCCTTGCCGGGCTCTGTATCTGCTCTGAGACACTGTTGCATCTCTGGCTGCCCAGACACCAGGCAGGCCTCTCTCCCCGAGCAGTGCTGCCAGGAGAAGCAGGTGAAGGTCCCTCATCTCTCTGCCCCCAGCCTCCGTCCCTGTTCCACCTTCTCCAGCTCACAGGACTCCCTCCAGACTCGGGAAGGATACTCCTGCCTTGTTGCCTCTGCAGGTCATAAGGTGTCCTTCCTCTGGCCCTCTAGACACCCCTTGCCACCTGGTTCCTCCACACTGCACCTGGATGGCCCACTGGACACGGAGCCTGAATCCACCAAGTTAACACCCCTTTTCTCCAAGGCAGAGGAGGGCTTAAACTTCAAACTTTCTAGCGCTAAAAAAAAAAAAAAAGAGAGGGAAGAAGAAAAGAAAAAAATGCAACACTGCCATGTTAAAATACACACTGCAACTCCAGATGCCAGGAACATCCTCATTCAGGTGGCCCAGAGGTCATGAAACTGGAACCACAGAAAAAGAAATGCGGTCAAAGCATGAAGCAGACCCTGCAGGAAGACATACTCACACGACCTTAATCATATAAATGCTATTTATTGATTTTCAGATTTGAGACTCAACCTGCGGACAAAGCACAGAAGACTTAATGTTGGTAGCAGAGCAGAAGATAGATGTTAACAGCCAGGATGATGGAAAAGTCAAGTACATCGGACCTTTGGGGAGGAGGGAGGTCAGAGGTGGGAGGGGAGGGGGAGATGAAGGGGGGGAGGGTCCCGGCTCTGCCAGCCTCATCCTACACAGAAGGGAGTCACCAGTTTGACTAAAGTCAGTGGGGTTCTAAAGAGTTCTAGGTGCAGTGTATAAAGTTGCAAAAATAACCAAGAGATGACCACTAAATATAGCCACCCAAAATGGGGAGAAAGGGAGGATGGCAGGGGCGAAACGGGGTCACAGTATCCAATCCTCATTTTTCATTGCCATGGGGTAAAAATGACACACAGAGGAACTCTGATTTAAACGTGCTACTTGGAGATAGAACTATCAGAAGAATAAAAAACGAGCAATTTTAAAAGCTCTGGGCTAAGGAATGGGAGAGCAGGGGAGGAAACTTCACTTTTATTCGTAAGCTCTTCTGTGTTCTTTTGATTTTTTTTAACTATAGGCATGCATGACTTTGATTTCAAAAATTAATTTTAAATTTTAAAAAGTGACATCAAAATCGTGGTCAACTGGACCAGAACTGCCGGGGGCCATGAGCTAGATCCCTGCCTGGGTGCAGGCCGCAGAGGGGTCAGTGCGGCTGCTGGGACCCCGGGGGGGACAGGGGCGGCTGCGGGGGCCCCGGGGGGGACAGAGGCGGCTGCGGGGGCTCCTGTGGGGACAGAGGCGGCTGCGGGGGCTCCTGTGGGGACAGGGGCTGCTGCGGGGGCTCCGCTGGCTGGTCCGCTCCGGGCGGCTCCGCGGCGCGGCGGCCCAGCATGCTTCGGCAGCGCAGCCGCTCCTCCTCCTGCTTCTCGGCCATGCGGTTCTCCAGCAGCCGCAGCTCCCTGCGCACCGCCTTCTGCATGGCGGGCTCCAGCTCCAGCACCTTCTCCAGGTCCGCCTTGGCCTCGGCCTCGTTCCACACCTCGGCGTGAGCCCGCGCGCGCACGTAGTAGGCCTTCACGATGCCTGCGGGAGGACACGGCTGGCAACCTGCCCGGCCCAGGGGCAGCCCCCACCCGCCTGGGACCCACCCGCCTACAAGACCCTTAATCCTGCCTGTGATCCTTAACCTCTCTGTACCTCTCGTGCCTCAGTTTCCTCGACTGTAAAATGGTGACGATAATGATAACAGCAGTACCTCCTCCCCTCCCTTCCTGGGGGACCTGTACCCTTCCCAGCCCTGTAACTAAGTGTATATGCCTAACTTTGTATTCTTTACCTTATAGACGCTCCCGAAATTGTATAACTTTCAGGCCCTATATCTGCACTTACCCCATACTCGGCGCCTGGAGCACGCTAAGTGCTGATGCTGCTGTCACCGACATTCAAATACCATCTTCACAAACACTGCCACCACGGATACTAGTATTGACTTATTAGTTTTCCCTATTAATTGCCCCTGTTTTAAAAGCCTGTTTACTGCTCTGCAAAATCACATTTGGTGAGCTGCTTGTCTCTTCGTCCAAACGTATTAAAATAAAAGACCCTACAGTAAGCACTGCCCGTCCATGGCCCGGCCTAGGGTTACAGGCTTGGGTCAACCCTGCTGGGTGCAGACCAGGTTTGGTGCCTTGACAGGGTCGGCAGAGAAGTCCGGGAAGGTCTTTGCAGGGGACCCTGTGGCCCCAGCAGGTTGCCCCTCGCCCCGCCCCGCGGCGCACCTGGGTGGTGGCGCAGGATGTCGCTGGTGTGCTCCAGCACCTCGTAGTACTCCTCCTTCTTCAGCAGGCACTGGCAGTAGTTGAGGATCAGGGTGTTGATCATCTTTTCCAGCTTCAGCCACTGCACCTCCCAGGGCTTCTCCTGCCGGAGCACGAGGTCTGCGGTGAGCTCAGGCGCCGCCCGCCCTGCCCCGGCCACAGCCAACGCTGGGCTGCTCCCCCAGGCCGGCCCCACTCCCACCTTGGTCTGCAGGTTCCTCAGGCAGACGATGGCCTCCTGGTACTTGGCAGAGGCCTCCTCGTAGCGGCCCAGCTTGAAGAGCCGATTTCCTTCCCCATGGAGGACGGGCACCGCCTTCATCTTCTCGTCATTGCTCAGGTTCCAGGTCTCCCTCTGGTACTCACTCGGGGCCTCGACCTGGCCAAGAGCTGCAGATCAGTGGGGCAGGGACCCCAGGGGCCTGCACCCCAGCAGGGACCAGGGAAGGTGGACCCCAGCACAGCTCCCTAAAGTCAGCTCTGCATTTTCTACAGTAGGGTTCGGCCAGAAAAATCACGATTGCTGATCAGATACATATAAACAAGGCCCAAGGCCCTGCCCTAAATCAGTGCCTCTGTGTGAATCAAAAAAGGGACCCCTTTGTCAAGACAATTTACTTCCAATATTCCGAAAATTGTCATGAATACTCATTTTGTTAGAACGAGACACTACATTGCCATCTGCTGGAAAATTGTCATTATAAAAATGCAAATATACAATGTCTTTAATGAGCACCTTGGAGGAGATGCCCTTGTGCAGTGCACAGACCACACAACTGTTCCAGCGGGCCTGTAAAGGCCCTTGGTTGACAGAGTTCTTATGGCCTTAGCCTTGACCAAAAGCTGAGTCCTGACCTGAACTTGACCCTGGCCCTGACCCTCTCCCACCAACTCCCAAACAGGCTGTCGATTGGGGCTCTGGGTGAGAGGACGTGGACACCTCCATGCAGCCTCTCCCACTGTTCAAGAACCAAGTCTAAACCCACAAACCACAGGGACCAAGGATGAGGTTAGAATCCTAAACTTTCACAAATAAAAATGGAAGTAGATAACCAATGAAAGTAAAATGCCTCCAAAATGAAACTGTATCACATTTTTTAAAATTGGTTCCAAATGGACTTTTCCTGTGGAAAAAACAGAGGATTTTTTTTTTCCAATTTTTTTTTTTCTTTTGTTTTCGGACCCTTTTCTTTTTTTTTGAGGGGAGGCCGGGCCTTTTCCGGGGGTTGTTGGGTTTGGGGTTCCCCTTGTTCCCCCTTTTCCTTGTTCCTTTTCGGTTGTTGGGCGGCCTTCCCCCCTGCGGCCCCAGAGTCGCACCTGCAGCAGCTCAATCACAAAGATCAGAGGCTGCGGCTCCTTCTGCAGCTCGTCCAGATCCTCGTAGCCCAGCGTGTGGTAGGCGAACATGTTGGCCAGCCCACAGGTGTGCACGTGCCACTCCGTGGGGTCCTTGCCCTCAACCATCTGCCGCAGGCTCCGGGACAGGATGGGGTAGACCCCGGTGTGCTGTGGGAGAGACAGGTGGATGGCGTCTGGGCCACAAAGACCCCCCAGTCTGAGCCCTTAACAGCAGGAATCCCGCTACCCCACTATACCCACTAGTAACAGTGGTTAACTGTGTGCCCGGCTCCTTTGGTCCAGCAGGGAAGGCACTACTATTGTCCTCATTTTGCAGCTGAGGAAATTAGAGCCTAGAGAAGTTAAGCAACTTGCTCCAGGTCACACAGGAAGGAGATGACAGAGCCAGGATTCAATTCTGGCTCCAGAGGCCATGCTTTTAGCCTCATGCTGCCACCTCCGGTCTTTGTGGTCAACTGTAACACATATTTCCCCAAGGGGACTCGCAGGGAGGGCAGTGTGGTGCAGACGAAGGTGCCGCGGAAGGAGCAGGGTTCTGGGATCGGAGAGGGCCAGTTTGGTGTCCTGGCAGTGCTGCTGGTTGGCAGTGAGCCCAGGTCATGGCACGTCTCTGAACCTCAGTTCCCTTGGTTGCACCTGTCTGGCATCAGGGCTGCTGTAGGGATTGAATGAGACAGTAGACGGGCAGGCCTGGCCCATCACAGCCTCACTCTCAGGATGGAGGAGGGCTGGGAAAATCAGTTGTGTGGCCTGAGCAAGGCCTGCTGCATGCCAGGCCTCAGTTTCCCCAACTGTGGTCTCTGAGAACCCGTCTCCTTGGACCAGGTTCAGAGGTAGCCCAGCTCTGGCCTCCACATGCAACTCTGGTAAAGACACACTGCTGGGAAAGTGAAGGGGCAGAAAGAGTTCAGCTCTGCCCCCAGGTCACCAGCATGGAGATAAAGGTCACCCCTCCCTGCCCTTACCAGCCAGGATTAGCCCAGAATGCCCTCTGCCACTTTGCGAGAGAGAGGACCAGATGGCAGTTGAGCCTTTTAGGATTAAGGCTGGACCAAGGGAGGGAGAGGCCCAGGATCAGCTTGCTGCAGGGAGGGGGCACTCCTGGCCCTGACCTGGCAGTCCCAGCTCAGCAGCCCCCATCTCCCAGCAAGGTGAGTGTGAGCTGCGGACCCCAGGGCCAGCTGCTGTTAGGACACACTCTCAGACAACAGCCTTATCCGTCTAGACACCTGCCACCCTGGCACTACCAGGACCCCCACCAGGAAGGAGCACTGCTGCCTGGGAGGGAGGAAGGAGGATATACATCTCAGCTCTGGGCCCATCCTTGCAGCTCAGCTTGCTGGGCTGCAGGCTGGCAGGGGCAGCCATGGTCGCACACGGGTCTCTGTGGAGCTGGACTCCCACCCCTGGGACGTGCTCATGCCAGTGGGACAGGAGGAGCCCAGGATCACTGCCCCTCTCTGGGGCTTCAAGGCCAGAGCCTGGTTCTGTCTGAGGGACTCTATCTATTCCGGAGGTTGCAAACTGGAGTGTGAGAGGCCATATCCAACTTGCAGATTGGCTTTGTTTTAGCCATCACAGTGTGGAGGGCTTTGTTTGCTTGTTTTTAATTCATTGCCAGCATTTCGACACTGGGCGAGTTCACACGCTAATGCAAATTTCTGGCTTTGTCTCAAAGGCTCAGAAGCCCCAGCCACACTGGGCCCTGCCCCTCTCACGTGGGGACCGTCCAGCTGAAGCTGGGCAGCAGCCGCCCTTTGGCTGGGGCCGGTGATCTCCAGCCTGCCAGGCCTCCTGGCCCTTCGTGGGCCTGGAGTTTGCAACCCCTGGCTTCACAGGACTGGGCACCAGCAAAAAGTCCCACATGCAGACCAGGGTCCTCCCTGGAGGGACAGGAAGGACTGCATTTCAGGGCAGATGCTCCCAGAGCCCCTGACTGATCCTGCTCTTCGGGTGCAGGGGAAGGGGGAGTGGGAGGAAGCCCCCTGCCCTGCAGAGACCTGAACTCCAAGGTCGTCTAGTGAGGACTGTCCAGGCAGAGGGCTCTGCAGGGAGTGCCAGGCAGCGACTGCTGGGGAGATCCAGGCCCTCCTGAGGCCTTTATCAAATGGAGACAATTGTCTCACTGATCGCTCAGTCTTTCCAGGTTCTTGGGTGGAGAGATGCCCCACAGAGGAGAAGGGACTAACTAAATGTAACATTCCCCGGCCTCGATGCTGCCCCTCTCCCCATTTCCAGGCCTCATGAACTATTCATCCTTCAAGACCCAGCTCAATATCAGCTGCTTAAAGAAGCCCCCGAAATTCCCTAAAGCAGTTAGTTGCCCCTCTTTTGCCCCAAAGCACTCTTTGCTCTCTTATTTATGCTGTGGCACTGGTTGGCCTACATGACAATTGCTTAAGTGTTTGCTCCTCCTCCAGAATTCAAGTTCCTTGAGAACTGAGGACTTGGCCTGTTTCATTCCTAATACTGAGCACAGGCCAAATCAGGTGGCCAGTGACTGTTTTCTGGATGGATAGATAGATAGATAGATAGAAGAGCAGATGGATGAGTCTGTAGTGATGGAAGACTGGATTATAAATGAACATTGGTTGAAGGGAAGGATGGATGAACTGATGCATGGGCAGGTGGATGGATGGATGGGTGGATAAGAGGTGGATGTGTAGACAGATAAATGACTCTAGAAGGGATGTGTGTGTTTGTGTGTGTGTGTGTGTGTTTATGTGCAATCACGGCAGCCATGGGCTGGAGGAGGAGAGGTGAGAGGGGTATTGGGAGAACCCATAGTCACTATGATATAAAAATTACCAGACTGTGGAATGGATAGTGCACTCATGTGACTATTGATGTGGCCAAAAGAACACAGACACCGCAAGAAACAAAGAGCCATGGCCACATTACAGGAGTCACAGCAGCTTGTGCTTTCACAAACAACAAATCAATCAACCAATCAAGAATTTATTGACAGCTTTCTATGCACTCAGCTCTCCTGCGCTAGCACATACGCACCCTATGGGGAGGGAGCTGTTGTTGGCAACCAAGCCTTGCCTAACATATGGCCTGGATTAGAGACACACACGGGTCTAAAAAGTGCAGGGGCTCCTCATTGTAAGCAAAGTCAATAAATATAATTTTAAACTAACTGAAATCACAAAGTGAATTTTCTAAAGACTTGATAAAAATAAAACAGATTTTAAAAGTTAAAAACATTGGGATGAAGAATAACCCAGGGACTGGTACAAATAGTATTTGCTAAGTGAGTGAAGAAATGAATATCATGGGTTGAATGGGATCCCCTACTGGCAGAGGGTGGCATTGCAGCCTGGCTCTGTTAGACATTGTGAGAAACACGAGCCAGATACGGCTCATCTCCCACCCAAATCCTGACCCTTAACTTATTTGACCCAGAATAAGTTACTTTCCCTTTCTGAGGCTTAACTTTTCTCATTAGTAAAATGAGAAAGTTAATGTCAAAATTTCTTCTAGCTCAAAATAATAGTCCCCACTTTTCATTTGCCCTATACTATGATTTACCTTCACATACATCACACTGTGTAATCTTTGAAACAAGTTGGAAGGGTAAGTGGCGGAAAGAAGAAAGGGCAGCCCCAGGTCACAAAACAATAAAAGAACAGAGTTCAAACTGTTCCCAAATTGCTCTTTCAAAAGGTTGTTGGCTCCTGCTGAAATAACGAGTCTAGGTGTTCACCCTCAATGATGAAAGTCTAGGGAGAGCTTTGGAATGGATGGATCGGGCTGTCAGCACCTGAACCCACCACTCAGTGTTCACATCACAATAAAAGAGGTGGCAGGCATGGTGGGCCTACGGGCAGTGCACAGTGCCGTCCACAACAGACTGTTGCAAAGAAAAAGAAGAACCTGAATCGTATCAAGCCCTCTAGACCAAACTTTCAGTATATCAACCATATGGGGAATAGAGGAACACGTTAGACAATTCCATGGCAAAGCTACCATAAACTCAGAATGTGGGACTCCTACAGGACAAATCCATGCAAAGGACAAAAAGAGGGAGGAGAACCCATAGATTAGAATGTTCTGTGGAGAAACATATCGACAGAGCGCTATGCATGGACTTTGTTTGAATCCTGACTTGAACAAACCAACTTCATTCATTTATAAAGAATCAGTGAGGAGAAATTTTAATAGTGACTGGATATTAGACTGATTTAAGGAATTATTGGGGTTTTTTAAAGATTTCATGATAATATTGTGGTTATATTTCTTAAATATTCTTATATTTTACAGATACAAAGTTTGGTATTCACAGATGAAATGATATGTTGTTTGGAATTTGCTTTAGCCACGTGGGACAAGGAAGGGAAGCAGGTGGGGTGGTGGGTGAGACAAGACGGGCCGTGGGTGGGTGGGGCTGGCACTGGGTGATGGGTGTTTGGAAGTTCATTATACTTTCTGTCCACTTATGTATATATTTGAAAGTTTCCATTAGACATGTTTGTCTGAAGGTCAGTGAGTTTCACCATTTCTACCCGGGCCACAGAACAAGGAATCTAACTTATAAGGGTAATTTATAAGAGTGCCATAAATAGGGAAAAAAATTTTTGCTATGTGGGGAGGAGGGCAGAAAAGTAACCAATGGTCAAAAGTCCCCAGGATCCAATCACAGTGTGTAAAAAGTGACGAGTGTGAAGTGGGCAGGCTCCCTCATCCCTCCGCCAGCCACAGCACGGATTGTCACTTTCGGGCCTTGTTCTTTTGGTTGAGCCATCTTCCTATTTACAGAGGCAGGGAATGAGGATGCGGGATTTGCTGTGCGTTGCCTTGTTTTCCCCGAGTTTTCCAGAAACACAACAGCCCTGCCAAGGGGGTGGGTGAGCCCACTAGAAGACAGACCCGGGGAACGGGCCAGCACGGCCTACTTACGATGATGTCACACCAGAACTCGGCCACCTCGCCGACCCGCATGGACGTCAGCAGGATCTCCCAGACCTCGAGCTTGAACATGTTCCCAATGATAATGTGCATGGGGTGGCCCACCTGCTTGCTGTCATCTATCACTGTCCGCTCCTCGTCGCATTTCATGGTGCGGAAATGGAAGGTCACCTGGTCACCGAGACAGTGGACTCTGGTCTAGACACACCTCCCAAGGTCCAGCAGATGCCACCCCCACTGTCATGGACCTCCAGCGCTGTCCTCAGGGGTCAGCTCTCACAAACCCGATTAGATGCCTCCGGCCCCAGGGCACCCCCACCCCGCATGCTCCCCCAGAGAGGCGGAACCCACCCTCCCAAAGGACCCCATTCCCACTCTCCACGCTCCATGTGTCAGGAAGTCCTTCCTTAAACAGCCCATGTTTCGTAGCCACAGACGCAAACACCAAGACCCCTGAGGGCCCTTTCTTCTCACCCAACATTCAGGGCTCTGGAAAATTTCCAAAAGCCCCTTCCCTCAGGCCACACTAAAATTTAATCTGCGAAGTACCAAAAATGCCCCGTGAATGGTACCCACTCAACGCTCCCAGGTGCCTGGGTTGACAGCTCCGGGCAGGGCCCACCTGGCTGTTTGCTGGCAAAGCTGAAGGCGGTTTGCAGTGCCCTGGGGCACAGCTGGGATGTGGGAGGCTGCCACAGGGGTCTCTATCCAGCCACGGGGTCCCACTTACTCGGGATCCGGTGATGAAGCTTGGCAGCTGCCCCGTGCCCCCGTGCAGAATGGTCTTCTTGACCCCTTCCACGTTCAGCAGCAGAGCAGCGTCCATGGCTGCGGGTGGAGGGAGACGTCAGCCCAGGCTGAGATAATCACACCTGTGAGGAGGACACTTAGGCGGCTGAGACGTGTGGGGATTTGCCCTGCCCTGAGGGGTGTGGATGAAGGCAGGACGGTGGGGGAGGTGCCCCAAGCTGGCCTGGGCCACTCCTCAAGGCCATTCTGGCCGCTCTGGGCAGCCTGGCCTCCTGCCCTGTCCACCTCTGCCGAGGGGGATGCGAGGCCCCCGCCTGCCACTACCATTGTCGTGCCTGGTGGTTTTCACCAGCAGGTTTTGTTCCACCCCAAGAAGGAGGAAGTCAGCTGAGCTTTCTTGAAGAAGACGAGGGAGAGGGGAGTGAGCAGCAGAGACGCCTGGAGGCCACCGACAGGGACAGGAGGGGAGGCCTGAAGCCACTTTGCCCTGCCTGGTCCCGGAGCGCTGCCCTGTCCAGACTCCAGGTCCCCTCGCACCCCAGGCTGGGCCCCTGCTGCATCTGTGGTCCAGCCACCTTCCCTGTTTCCTCCAGGCCCTCCCCAGGATCTGCCCTCAGGGGGCTGTGAGATCTGGCCAGAGGGAAAAGGGGGCAAGTTTCTGTCTCAGGAGGGAAGTAAGAGAGGGGACCAAAGCGAGTAAGTGTCACCCTCCCCAGCTGCTCCCCTGCCTCCCCTACAAAGCCTGGTTTCGGCAGTGGGGCTCTCCCGCTGCCTTTGGAGGGCCTTAGCCCTGTGCTCTGGGAACCAAACAGAGCTTAGGGCATCACGGACCCCTTTCTGGGCTGAGAAAAAGAAACGTGAAGACTTGGTATTTGGCGCCACCTTGTGGCCATCTCGGGTTCTTATGCCTGCGCTCCCCCGCCCTGAGGCCGGTGAGCTCTGAGCAGCTCCAAACCGTTCTCTTCCGATGCCACGCTCGCCTGTTACAGAGAGAAAGGACACGGACCCTGCCACAGAGAGAGAACACTGGACTAGGAGCCAGACAGAGCTGAGTTCGAAGGGCTAATCCCCCTCTTATTTACTGACCCTGTGGCCTTGGGTGTCTCCTGTCTTCCCTAAATCCATTTTCCCAAATGATATGGGAAAATCAACCTCTCCTGCCTCCCTGTCCAGGGGAGTTGAGAGGCCTGGAGCAATGAGTGGGAGCCCCAAATCCAGCACCCCTGAAAGTCTTGACTCCGTTGGCATAGAGGAGGCGAAACCTGGGCCACTGCTCCCGGCCAAGGAACCCAGACTGCCCCTCCAGGAAACCCTTCCTGGGTGCTCCGTCCCTGAGGGCTCAGTCTCCACCTGTGCCGGGGGGGGGAGGCGGTGAAGGCTGGAGAGATCCTGCCCCTCCTCTCTCCCACCCTTTTCCCAGCGGCACCACAACCTAGAGAGGGGCCTGCATGCAGGAGGTAAAATGGATACTTAGTAAAACTTCAAAGGAGAATAAAAGCCATTATTACAAAAGTCTAGGGAGGGAGGGAGATCACACAGCTGGGGGCAAGTGGCTGCTTCTGGGATCCCTGAAATGTTCACCCTTGGCCCGGGTGAGGGTTACACGGATATTTGCTTTATAAGCACAGTAAGGCCTCACTTAATGTAATTGGTGGATTCTTGGAAACCGTGATTTGAAGCAAAAGGATGCACAGCAGGTCCTCAAATAATGTTGATGAGAAAAACATTGGTTTCCTTATATGTCTTTTCACTTAAAGCCACAGTTTCCAAGAACCTGTCAACAGCATTAAGTGAAGACTTACTGTATTCATTATACTGGACGTTATGTTTTAGTCATTTTCCTATCAGTGATGTAATTCACAATGGGAGAAAAATATCTAATCATGTCTCTTCTTACACTTCTTAAAACTCTCTCACTGTGCCCATCGATTCCCTTTGTAGAGGGTCAAAGGCACACAGGATGGAAGAGATGTTTATTAACAAGAGGTAGGACCGATTGCCCATGGTTGGCCAGGGAAGGTGGGGGGCATGAAGGGAAGGGGATATTGATGCTGATGCCGGGGGTTGGTTTCACTGCTGAGAAGAATGAAGGTCCACTGCCTGGGCCATGCCTGGACTCAGGTCACAGCCTCCAGACTGATCCCCTGGCACCAGCTTGGCCCTTATCTTAGTCCACTTCCTGTTGCTATAGCGGAATACTGCAGACTGCGTAATTTATAAAGAAGTTTATTCAGGTCATGGATCTGGAGATGCGGAAGTCCAAGAGCACGGTGCAGGCGTCTGGTGAGGGCCTCCTTGCTGCGTCATAACATGGCATAGGGCATCACATGGTGAGAGGGCCAGAGTGTGCCAGCTCAGGTCTCTCTTCCTCTCTTTTTAAAGCCTCTAGTTGCATCATGGGGGCCCCACTCTGATGTCCTTATCTAATCCTAATTACCTCCCAAAGGCCCCATCTCCAACTGCCGTCAACATATGAATTTGGGGTTTAAGTTTCCAACACAGGAAATTCAGGGGACACATTCAAACCACAGCAGCCCCCAAATCAATCTTCTCATGGACTTCATTAAAATGCAACCCTAAAAACCCACTCCTCTCTTAAAATTCAGCAAAGACTTCCCACTGCAGGCAGGATAAATTTTGAACTTCCTTCCCTGGCCTACAGGCCCTGCCTCTTGCCGTCCTCAGCCCCTGACCTCGGCCCCTGACCTCAGCCCCACACCCTCGATTTTGCTTAGCTTTTCTCCAATCCTAGAACTTGGCAGTGCTCCAAACACCCAACACTGGCCCCCTAACTCCTCAGCTAAGGAAGCCTGCCCTGACCTCCAGCTCAAGTCAGTTTCCGCACCCCCAAACCCTCTGACTCCCCCCAGCGCTTCCCATTCGTGGCATTAATTGTTTACAATGACGTGTTCAGTGTCTGCTGCTTCTTCCTTCGGACTGGCAGTTCCAAGAAGTCAAGGAAACTGGTGGAAGCTTTGCTGTCGGACAGAGAGTCACTGCAGACCAAGGTGGGAGCTCCTCCTCCATACCCTACCCCAGCAGAGGCAAGGTGGAACTAGAATCCTTCCTCCCCAGAAAAGCCTCTATTTAGAACAACTGATTGGCTTTTCCTCCTTGCTAAGAACAGAAACCCCTGCACCTGCCTCTCCACGAGGAGCCCACTTCCCCTGAGTAGAGCCTCCTTCCCACCCTCAAGCCACCACTTCATGCAAGACAAACAGGAAAGGCTTCTCATTCAGAAGAAAATGTTTCTGCCTTCTTTTCTTGTTGCCATGGAGACTGCACTTCGTTAACCCGGCCTGCCAGTTATCATTCTGGGTGAGGGAAGGGGGTGGGAGGCTCCAGGCAGGGAGGGCGTCTTCATGAATGCATGCTTGAGTTCATTCATTCCAGATACTTAACGAGGCTGTGTAATCTAAGGTTAAGAATTCAGGTTTTGGAGTCAGCCAGCCAGGATTTAAGTTCCAGGTCTGACATTCCGTACGATCTTAGACAAAGATGTGTCACCTGTCTGGATCTCAGCTTTGTCATCTGTAACGGAGATAAAAATAGCACCTACTTCATAGAGTTGCTGTGAGGATTAAGAAAGAATAAAGACAGTAAATGCACTTAGCAGAACGTCTAACACATGGTAAGGGCTTGAAATATACAAGCTATTATTTTGGATGTGTCTGACGTGCCAGGCGCTGGAGGGACGACTGTGACAAGACACTCCAATTTGGGAGATTTTCTTTCTAAGTGTTTCACCTTCATTGAGTCCTTCACACATTTTCAACTTAGTTTTCATAGAAACAACAACTCTTTCTTTTCCCTCCTCATCTTTCATTGGTCAATGACAGGAATTAAATTTCTTAATGACAATAATAAATACAACTATTGTAAATGGGTTTGGGAACAAATATTTTCAAACTTCAACCCACACCCCATTAGTGACCATTGTGAAATAAATGTAATGGGTTGCAGTGGTCAGTTTTTTTAAATGAAATGGAAAATTAAATCTCAGAGCACATCATGCATATCAAGTATCATGAAACTTTTGTTTCAGTTCACGTGTCTGTTTTCGTGCTGGGTTTTGTGTCAGTTCACGTGCTGGGTTTCTTACAAGGAATACTGGTCCCCTTGAACATAATGTTCCCTGTCCCAAGAAGACCACGTACACACAAAAGTACACAAACACATTCTTTGCCTGCTTAACTCACTCTCTATGCTTCAGCTTTAAATAGCATAATTTTTGTCTGGTTCTTTGATTAATCGATTATTTATTATTTGATGCATTAGTGTCTGTCTCTCCCCACACACTAGATTTGAGCTCCATGAGGGTAAGGGACACAGGCATTTTGTTGACCTTTGTGGTTCATTTTTACCACAATGCTTCATCAGTCACAGGCACCCAGGTGATATGATTTGGAAAGACAAGAGCGAGGAGACGTGGGGGGGGAGGAGGAGGAGGAGGGCCAGGGATACCAAGGTGACCTCAGCTAGGGTGTGCTGGTTTAAGGTGCCTGCGGCACCCAGGGGGAGATGAGACCCAGGAGGTAGTTGGCTGCGTGTCAGGTGAGAGGTCGAGGCTGGAGGTGCGGGTGTGAAGGGCTGAGGAGGGGCAGTGTGGGTGGTTAGGGAGTTTGAATCCTTCGCCCTGCTGTAGACTAACTGAGTGAAATTTGGGCCCAGCTTAATTCTCTATGCCTCAGTTTCTTCATCAAGTTGTAGGCTGCAGTGAAGGTGTCTTAGTCCATGAACTAAGGAAAGCCTTAGTCCATTTTCTTTTGCTGTAACTGAATACCACAAACTGTGTAATTTATAAAGAACAGAGGTTTATTTAGCTCATAGCCTGGAGGCTGGGAAGTTCAAGAGCATAGTGCTGGCACCTGGTCAGCATCTGGTGAGGCCCTTCTTGCTGCATCATAGCATGGCCGAGGGCAGCACACGGCAAGAGGGCAAGAGCATGTGGACCAGCTCTGGTGTCTTTTTCTTCTTTTAAAGAAGGAAATCATTCAGCCCCACCCTAATGACCTTATCTAGTCTTAATTACCTCCCAAAGGCCCCACCTCCAAATGCTATCAACATACTAGAGGCTGGGCAGGGTAGAGGGAAGGGAGAATAGGGAGAGATTTGTTAAAGGATACAAAATTGGAGCTAGACAAGAGGAACAGGTTCTAGTGTTCTATAGCACCATAGGATGACTATAGCTAATAATACATTATATGGTTCCAAATAGCTAGCAGGAGGATATGCAATGTTCCCAATACAAAGAAATGATAAATGTTTGAGATTATGGATATGCTAATTACTCTTATCTGATCACTGTGCATGGTATCACATCACTGTGCACCCATAAATATGTACAAGTATTATGTGGCAATTAAAAAAATTTAAGAAAATCATTAAATAGTTCATACTTACAAAAGAATATATGCATAATGTGTGTATACACATAGATATAAATGACATATATAAAATTATATACACATATGGTTTAAAGAATAATAAACATCCATGTAGCCACCACCCAGATTAAGAAAAAGAACATTACTTTTGAAGCCCTTTGAGTTCCTCCCTGATCACATCCCCTTCCCTACCACCCCTTCCAGAAAGAACTACCTATTTTATTTTTGTGTGTACGATTCTCCTGCTTCCCATAATAGCTTTATCCACAAATGTGTGCACATTCCTAAACCATATTGTTTCGTTTTTTGCTTTTGAACTTATATAGTGTCAGATTTTGTATGTCTGTAATTTGCTTTTTATTATCCCGCATTGTATTTCTGAGATCCACCTAAATTATTCCCTCTGGTTATAGTTTACTAATTTTTCCCGCTGTATAACATTCCATAATTTGAATAAACAATGTATATATATTAAAAAAACAAACAGATGCCATCAACGTATGAGTTTGGGGATTATGTTTCCAACACGTCAAATCTGAGAGACACAATTGAACCATAGCAGATGATCAAGTGAGTTAAGAAACATCGAGTGCTCGGACCACCAGAACCTGGTGCACAGTAAGTGCCATGTACACGGCAATCATTATCCTCCCAAGTGGGGAATCGCTGAGGCTGAAGGAGGCGTGAGACCACCACAGATGAAGGGGGCTGAGGACAGAACCTCCGGGCAGTCACCGCAGCCCTGGGGGGGCGGGTAGCAAGGAGAGTGGGAGAGTGGGCGGTGCTACTCTGAGGTCTCCTAAAAGAGGAAGGGAAGAGCATCATAGATGGCTGACTTTTGAGCTTGTTTGGGTGCCAAGGGGAACAGAGGGAGGTTTCATTCGGCTGGAGCGAATGGGCCGGGCGAGACGGGGTGGGGGTCGGCGTGGGCGGGAGGAGGGCAGGCGGGCATACTCTGGAATGTCCCTCTCTAGGATGTGTTTTCTTGGGGGCAGAGTGTGGATGGCGAGTTTGGGGAACACAGAGCGGGCAGTGCCTTGTGTCAGGAAGAAAGGGTCTTGAGGGAAATTCGAAACAAAACCTCGGTGGGCGAGGGCGCTGCAGCCGCGTGGTCTCTCCGGGACAGGAGCAGCAGGCTCTTTCAGACAAAAGCGCTGAGCAAGTACGGAAAGCCAGACCTCGTGACAGGATGGGAGGGTCCCCAGGAGACCAGGGCTGCTGCCCGCTGAGGTGCCCCGAGGCCGAGGCCACCGGCCCCTGGGTCTTCTCGGTGCCCGGGACCCCCGCCTGCGTCCCGATGGGTCAGACCAGCATGAACCCAGGGCGAGGGAGCGGGCTCCGGCGCGGGTTGCGCTGGGCCGGGCGGGCTCGGGTGGGACCTGCGGGTACAAAGCCGGCGCGGGAGGAGCAGGGAGCGGTGCGGGGGTCCAGGGCGATGAATGGGGACGACCGGGCCAATCCGAGAGCAGGATTCGCAGCCGCGAGAGAAGGGGGCCAATCGGATCCCCGGAGCGGAGTCGGGCGCGGGGTCGGAGCCAATCAGCTGTGAGGACGAGGCCGGGCAGAGCCGCGCGGAGTTTCAAATCCGCCCGGGTCAGCGAACAGCAGCGGTGCTCGGCCCCCGGGCGGCTCGGGGGCGTCGGGTGAGTGCGGGCGGGACGTGGCTGGGCTTCTGTTCAGAGGGGAGGGGTCTTAGGATGGGCATGGGGGGCGTCTGGAAATGCAAGCGCCGGATCGCAAACCTGGGATCAGGTCCGGCGGCGAGGGACGGGCGGGCGGGCTTGTTTGCTCCGGACGAGCTTGCGACGTGGCCGCGGACAGTGCCCTGGCGGGGCTGAGCCCTGCGAGGCCGGTCCTAGCTCTGCCTCCCTCCCCGCCTGCGGCAGACAGCGGTTCTGCAGGCATGCTGCTCACTGCGACCCCCCTTCCGGGGACATGCTCCTTCCTCCACCCCTCCCTCACCCCGTCCCTCTTCCCCTGTGCCCAGGATTTCGGGAACCTGGGGAGGGGGAATGCCTTTCTGACCTGCCTTTTGACCTCCTCCCCAGGATCTAGTGGGCAGAGAAGACTCTTGGCCGGGCGGATGGCTTCTCGGTGGCAGGACGTGAGCGCCTCTGTGCGCCGGAGATCTCTCCGGAACCGGGAGCAGCTGGAGGACAGCAAGGTGCTGCAGCCTGTGGTGGGTCATCAAGAGACCTCTACCCTGGGCTCCCTGTGCAGACAGTTCCAAAGGAGGCTGCCCCTGAGAGCCGTCAACCTCAACCTCAGGGCAGGCCCCTCCTGGAAGCGCCTGGAAACCCCAGAGCCGGGGCAGCAGGGCCTCCAGGCTGCAGCTCGATCAGCCAAGAGCGCCCTGGGTGCCGTGTCCCAGGTAACAATGACAATGCTAACCATCTATTTATGGACGATTTCCTTGGTGCTGGACAGTTCCTACCCTCAAGGACCCCCCTCCCCACCCCAAGAATGGAGACTCCTTGCAGACAGGGACTTTGATTAGTTCATTGCTGGTTTTTTTTTTAGCATCCCAAATAGTTCCTAGCACACAGTAGGCTCTGAACCAGCAGTTAAATGAGTCATGCAAGCATGTCTTGGAGGAAAGGGATGCTCATGCAAGCATGTCTTGGAGGAAAGGGATGCTCACGATACAAGGTGACAGCTGTATTGTGATAGGAAATTGCAAGCAAGTGGCTAATAGCGAGGGTCCACCAAACACAGGCCTAGCTGGCAAAGGCTTCCCAGAGGAGGTGACTGCACGGAGTTCAGCCGGGGAAGGGGAGGCGCAGGGGTGTATAAGGCAGAGGGAATAGTGTGACTCCAGGCCCAGAGCTGAGGGAAAGCAAGGAGCTACAGAGAGCTGGTGGAGTTTAGTCTGGGCGTGGCCAGAGGACAGAGCTGGCTGGAGTGGGGAGAAAGGACACACGGGTGCTGGAGGTGCTTAGACTCTCCAGGAGTGACCGGGAGTGGGCAGGATTCTAAGCAGGGTGGGCAATCTGATCAGATTAGCTTATCAGAACTTGTTGTTCAGCTATGCGATGGTACAGGGGCTCGAAGATATGCTCCTGAGGGAGCCTCATGGTCTGGACTTGCAGGGGTGTAAACTTCAAGGGCTGCTCAGAAGGTAGGTGAGAGAGGATTTGGTGTCAGATAAGATGTACCAGCAGAAAGATGTCATTCTTTTGGATGTGAGGTGCCCATGGGCCCTCCAAGGGATTTGTCTCCAAACCTGGAGCTGGGGGTGTAGAGGTGTCACCTAGAAAGGACAGAAGCCATGAGAGAAGAGGAAAATAGCTCCAAGGAGAGAATTAGGAGGCCGGGGGAGGAGGTGGGGGAGCCTCCTTAGTGTCTCACTGGGAATTCTGAGGGTGAGGAGAGAGGGTAGCTCTTCCTGAACAGAGAGGTCTTTGAGCTAAATGTTAGTCCTTATTTGCAAGTGCCCTTTGTTTGTTTGCACCACCCTCAGGGATCGGAGAAATGAGATGAGGCATCTTGTCCAAGGTCACGTAACTCATCAAATGTAATGTGGGCCTTGCTCTAACCCCTGGACTCTGGTTTGCCAAGGCAAAACAGTCCAGCCAATGGCGAAGAGGCTTCATGGCCGTCACCCAGCTGGTGCGAAAGGCCCAGGAGTTAGGGCTTGGTCCTATGGGCAACAAGGACCCATAGGAGGGTTTTGAGCCATTGAGTGTCGTGATCAGAACTGTCCTTTGGAAGGATCTCTAAGGACCAATGTGGAGGATGGATAGAGTGAGTGAGACCAGAGGCTGGAAGACAAATGCTCTGCTGATACCCAGGGAGGTGGGCCTGTTCTCCCCTGGGCCTTCTCCTTGGGTGTCTGGGTCAATCTGGACCCAGGAAGAGGGTCTGGTCTTAGATAAATGGAGGCTCTGTGAGCCAGGATGGTCCTCCTGCCACCGACCACCGCAGTCATATCTGAGGGGCTCTGAGCTGGGTCCCCGCCGTGGACGCATTCCACGTGCATCATTTACATGCCTCGCCCTTGAGACTAAGGGCAGCCTGCATGTGTGGAACAGCTGATGGGCCTGGGGTGGGAGGGGTGGCCTGGGACTGGGGTAGCACACCCTTGGCGTTGCCTGTGCCAATCTTTCCATGTACCTGTCGCAGAGAATCCAGGAGTCCTGCCAGAGTGGCACCAAGTGGCTGGTGGAAACCCAAGTGAAAGCCAGGAGGAGGAAGAGAGGGGCACAGAAGGACGGTAGGCCCCCAGCTCACAGCCTGAGCCAGAAGAGCACCCGGCTGTGTGGAGCCGCCCCTGCCCACTCAGCCACGGACCCCTGGGAGAGGGAACATCACCGCCTCTCTGTCCAGATGGGCCTGCGTACCCCCCGACTACGGCGGTCAAGGAGGGAGGCTGCCTTCCGGAGCCCCTACTCCTCAGCAGAACCCCTCTGCTCTCCCAGGCAAGTGGGACAGTGCCCCTCCCCAGAGCTGGTGGCCTTTTAGCCCAAGCACAGTTCTCCTTTCCTGACACGCTCCCCAAACACAAACTGATCCCCAGGGGCTTTTGAGCACCTCTTGTGGCTACCTGGAGCAGGGCTACCCTGAGCTGAGTCACATCTGTGTTCTGACCCACCTCTGCCCCTAGAGCTAATGCGGGGCCTGAGAAAATTCTTCAGGGCCTTAGTTTCTCTGTCTGTAAAAGGAAGACGTGAGCTTGGCTGCGACTACACAATCACTCAAGCCTCTTGGTGGGCCCAAAAGCAAGTTTTGAAGCCATCTGGTTGGCTGAGCCTCAGTTTCCAAGGGGGAGACAGCAGGGCTCCCCTGTCAGCAAAATCACTCGCCAGGGAGTCAAGGAGAAGGCCCAGCAGGAGACCTTGATCTCGCCGTTCTCTGCCAGGTGCTCCAGTTCACTCTGATGTCACCTCCTGCAGTGAGGGCCTGGGGTGAGGCATTTCCAGCTCACCAGGGTCAGCTGGGCCGCAGACCAGGCCCCAGAGCTGGGTTGGGAGGGCTCCTGCCACAGGTTTCCAACTAGTCACTGGTGTGGCTTTTCCTTTTGTTCAGTGAGTCTGACAGTGACCTAGAGCCTGTGGGGGCAGGAATTCAGCATCTCCAGAGGCTGTCCCAAGAGCTAGACGAAGCAATCATGGCTGAAGAGAGGTGAGTGGGCATCCCATGCTGGAACAGCTGGGAGGGCTCCCTTGAGCCAGCTTTGTAGGCAGCTGCTGGTTCTGGCTCTGACCTGCTGTGTGACCCTGTCCAGTCCCTGCCCTTCTCTGGGCCTCAAGCTTCCTCATCTGAAACGTGAGAAGGGATGAAAGGCCTAGATTGGGGTGATGGTAAAGGGTGCACCCTGGATGTATTTGGCCCTCCGGGCCTTGGGCCCCCACATTTGTCCATCACCTGGAGCCTCACATGTGGCCGGGTACCTGGTTCCTGAAAAACCTGCCCTCCCTCCAGTCCTCTCCATGGCTCCCCTGTACCCTGCCTGCCCATGGAACTGGAAAGAGCAACATGGCTGCTATGGAATTCCTGGTCTATCTGCCCAGGACCCCATCCTGAGGACATGGCCTTGGTTCTGGATCTGCCCTAACTTGGGGCCATTTCCCCCTTTATATAATGGCCACGAGGGATTCTTAGGCAGGACCCTGCCAGCTCTGACTGTGTGTCAAGCAGCCAAGTTCCCACCACGTTTCCAAGCCTGGTCTCTCCTGGTCCAGACTGAGAGGGCCCCCTCAGAGCCCGCCATTCTCAGTGGCATCAATCCCTCCCCCTTTTCTCTAGCAGCGACATGACTGACTTTCTCATTCATGACTGAGGACAGTGCCCTGCAGGTAATGCCCTCCTCCTCCTCCTCCTCCTCCTCATGCATGAGCACATATGTGTAAGCATGTTAAAGAATTGATTCTTTCCTAGAAACGCCCGCAGAGCTGACGGGCACAGCAGACTAGGAAGTGTACAAGTCTTCCTACCTCCTCGGACCCAGAGCCGCTAACCTCACTGACCCCATCATTAACTGAATGTGCTGGTGGCCCCTTCCAGTCCCCCATTTAGTGGCAAAAACTATGGTGTCCCCCTTCCCCTGCCTTGCCGACAGTGAGGGGCACCCAGGGAGCTCTGTCTTGCAGGAGGCAAGCCCTGTCTGACCACTGAGCCCTCACACCCAGGGTGTCTGTGCTGCCCCGTGACCACCCTGGAGGAAGCCCCCTGGAGTCGTCAGTACCCCTGGGCCACTGCTAACAAGGACCTAACAAGGGGCCCAGAGCTCTCCTGCTCCGGCCACATCTGGACCCACCACTGACCGCCTGCCACAGCCTGCGAGTGACTTGGGGAGATCTTGGAGAGATGGGGGAATTGTTTCTTCTACTCCCCAGGGGACCCTCGGGCTTAGAAATTCATTCCACACTTGATTCACTCTTGTGGTTGCCTCATCTGCAACATGAGGCACAGGCACCAGAAGGTGTTTGAGAGCTCTGAGCCGTGTCCCCAGGAGCAGGGTCTTTGGGGAGCCCGCCACAGAGCCACCCTCTGTGTCTCCAGGGCTGAGGCTCTTGGGGACTAATCTCTCATCTCTGCTTCCCCCACCAGGTCCTAGAGGAAAGCCTAGGAGACCTTTCCAGGCTTAAGACCCTGGGATCCCCAGGTACCTTTTATACGCTCAGCACAGGGCACCGTGGGTGTGCCAGGAGGAGTAGCGCTATTCAAGAGCAATTTCTGCCCTTTGTAAATTATTTAAGAAACCCGCTTTGTCATTTTATTAGAAAGAAACCAGTGTGTGACTTTGCTAGATAACACTGCTTTTTCATAATAAACACTCTTCCTGCATCTGACATCTGTTCCTTTTCACTGCCAGCCCCTCCCCCGTGCCGTGCCACTCTGGGCAATAGGTTTGTGGTTTAGGGTCCAGCTTTGCTCCCTGCCTCCACCTCCACCCCCAGCCATTCTGCCCCCACCCCGGCTCAGGGACTACATGAGTCAAGGGATAGATTTCTCAATGCAGTTAAGAACGAAGCATGTTTTAAAGGCAAATAAGGTTTTTATTTAAGTGACAACATTTGAGAGTTAAAAACCAGCTCACATCAAAATCAAGACCAGTTGTAAAAATCTTTTAACTCCATAATGCTGTTTTTGTCTTGTTAGAAATCTGATATTTTACATTTTCTTTTCTAACGGATTTTGTACAAGGCAGCCGTAAGGAATATAATAAACCTTTTTCACCACAGAACCATCCATCACAGATAATACTGAAAGTGACACACTTAGGGACAGTCAGACCACGGACAAGGTAAGACTGGCTGCCACCACCAAGTAAACAAATAGGAAAGGACAGTGGGGTCTGAGGGTGGGGGTCCATGTGCACGAGCCACCCTCCTCTGGCCTGCCCCCTCCTTGGTGTCATCTGCCTCTCCTTTGTCCCAAGGAGGGTGGAGTCAAACTCCGATTTTCCTCCGGCTGCCCCATTGGTTTCCTAGCAAGGAGCAGAGCCCAGGCCAGGCCTTGGTGCTTGGACTTAACCCTAACAATGGTTTTTAAGAAAGTTCCCCCAAGCCCAGAAGGGAAGGAAGGAGGGGATGTTTGTTTTGGCTGAGCCAAAGAGAATAGGTTTCCAGAGCACTTGGCACCCAAAACCCCGGGATTTGGTGAGAAAGTTGGTTGTTTAAGGCGGGGTCAGCTGCGAGGCTCCTCGAGGCCAGGGCACCCCTCCCGGGCGGGGCTGCACCTGCCTGAGTGGAAGAGTGTCCTGCAAACCCAGCGCTACCTCTGGACCCATTCCCACCTGCCTCGCTCAGGGTCCAGCTTTCGTTACAGATTGGTGCCACGCTGTTGTCTGCAGGACACCTCCAGAGCACAGGTATGTGCTCCAGGGTGGTAAAAATACAGTTTAAAAACCATGAAATCCAGCCTCCCCTCTTCCGGGGAAACCACCAGCCGGTCGTCTCTGGAATACTGGGGTTCAAACATGTTTGTTTGCTGGGTCCCAGCACGCACACAGGAGGACTGTCCATCCAAATGCATGAAAGAGGTCTACTTTAAAAAAATAAAAAACTTTGCGGAGCCTAAGGGAGAAGTTGAGATCTTTAGGAAAAACCCATGATGTGTGGGAAGAGCAGGCCCCAGCTAAAAATGCACCCTGAACCCCCAACAGGGCAAGTGGCAGAGGAAGGCGGCAGGCAGGCCCTCGGCCCGGACAGCCACTAGATCGGGAAGAACAAACATGCCACGCAAGAAACAAGGAGCTTTGGTCAGGCGGGAAGATCTGTTTTCCAGCTGCTGGGAAGCAGGCATATCAGGAGCTAGAAGAATTCTCTAGAAAACAGCTGGATTGGGGGGTCACAGAACGACTCACGGAGAGGCAGCAGCACTCCCTCCAGAAAACAACATGACTTGGTTCTTTTTTTCTCCAACTTAACTAGACGGACAAAATTGAACGAACCACTAGTATAGAAAGTGCATGTGGATTACATAGATGCCGTGAAAGCAGTACTGAAACATAAGTTGTCTCATCACTAAACAGAACCACAGGTACGCACATTCACACACCAACTACAGCTCCAAGGGTGTTGTGTTCACAATATCTCACTGTACACCGTCAGCATCTCATGTGTGTGTCGTCAAAGCCCCAATCCTGGGCTCCAGAAAGGAAGGGGTGATGACCCTCCTGCTGGGTCCTGTGTCCCAGCTCCAACCCCCAGAGCCACAGAACCCTGGTCACTCGGACTCAATTCCCTGGGGATCCCAGCGTGCGCTCTCTCTCGCTCTCTCTCTCTCTGTCCTAGCCTGGGGTTCTCAGAAAGGGAAGAGGAAATTTAACCGGAAGCAAAGTATCTCACGCTAATTATTTTATCATTTGAGAGTAATACATCAGTGGTTTCTGCAAAAAGAAGATGGTGGAATTTCAGAAAATCAGATTAAGTCTGCCCAAGTTTAAATCAGGGTATTTGGGGGCAGAGGTGGGAGGGATTAGGGTTGAGGTGGCTATGCCTATGGAGACCCAAGAACATGAAATGCGAGGGGGGATGGGCACGTGTGAACCGCCTGGCTGCCAACCAGAGAGGAAGCTGAGGCTGATCTGTACCCCTCCCCAACAGACTCCCTGGTGGCAGCGCTGGGTTTGGATGCAGGATGCAGTGCTGAAAGGAGCAGAAGAGCTGGCAGGCTGGAGAAGACACGTTTCTAGTGGAGAGAGCAGGGCTGAGGGCTGGGAGCTGGGAGCCCAGACCCCGCCAGCCCTGGGAGGGTGCCTAGTTTGCCAGGCGATTCACAACGGCGGTGCCAGCCGCCCCCACCGGCAGCTGCCATCAGCTGCATGGGAGCTGCGAGAGGTAGACATTGAGCAGAAGCAACACCGAACTGACACGGGTGCCTGCTGTGCACACGGACATCTGGGCCCTGGCTGAAAGAGCTGGGACTGGTCTCAGCGGCAGCCCACAGAGACTCAGGGGCGACCTGGCAGCCGCACACAGCGGGTGTGAGCCTGGGCCAGGGAGCAGGGGGTGGTGCAGGAGACCAGTGCCAGGCAGCAGCAGGAGGGCCTGGGCAGGCTTTGCAGAGCCCTAGGAGAGCCACATCCTGCCAACCTCAGGGGACTACCTGGGAGGAAGCTGTGGGCTCAAACTGAGTGGCAGGGGGAAGGGAAGAGAACACAACAGTTGGAGCCCAAATTCCATGAATACCCAGAACTCTGGAATCTCAGCCCCACGCCTTCTAGGAACCAAAAGGGAGACATCAGTCTGAGCAAAGCTGAGGACCCAGGTCAGTACCCTTTGGTAGGAGAGGGGGATGTTTCTATCCCTGGGACACCCGATTTGGACATCAGTGCAAGGCAAACCCACAGCAGCTCTCCATGGGGGAGGGATCCCTTCCCAGCCCCCCTTTGAGGCAGTGGGACAGGAGCTCCTCCCTGCCAGCACCCCCAACCCCTCTCCCAGGCTGTGTGGAAGGCGTGGATCACCGGACACTCTGAGGGGCGCTTCGGCCTGAAAAGCCTCAGGGGGCAGAAGTGCAGGACAACCCAGGAATCAAAAACTCACACCAGTCTCAGCTGGGGGCCCCCTCCAATTACAGAAGGCGGGCAAGGCCCAGAGAGCACAAGCAACAGGCTCAAGGGCTCACAGCCAGCCCAGCTGGGCCAGAGCCCAAGACTGCAGCCTCCAGAGGGCACAAGGCAGGGCTACGGGAAGAGGAACACCTGTCCTCAAGGGCCACAGGAAAATGGGGAGGATACTGGGGACAAGAAGGGGAACAGTGGACAGCTGCAGGAGGACAGACCGTCAGCACCAGGCCCTGACCCAAGGGCTGTGGACAGAGTCCACATACATGAGGACAAGCCCAGGGGACCTCCTCTCACTCCCAGAAAGTGGCCAGTTTGCCGAAAGAGAGCCAACTCCCAAATGGTGAGCCAGGATGTCACAGGGAGGGCTGGCACAAATACCACTCACTCCTCCGCAGGCAGCCAAGAAGCTGTACGCGCCAGCAGCTGCTGGTTCCGGGGCAGGGCTGCTCTCAGTAGGGCCTGCCTAGCGTGGCTGTGACGCCTCGGGGACTCAGGATGGTCGACTTTGCCCAAACACTTCAGCTCCGGGCAGGCCTGGCCCCCAGGATTACACAAACATTTAATCCTGACTCGGGCTCGCGGTCACAGGCATCAGGGAGGCAGCCGCAGCCGCACTGAGACCCCCGGACCTCACCCGGTGGCAGCTCAGGGAACCCGCCGAGATCGGACAGGGTCCCTCCCCACCCCCGCTCTGGTCGAACAATGCTGGACAGACACGGGAGGAAAAAAGCAGGAAAACGCCTGTGTCGGGGAGAGGGCAGCCCCCTCCCGTCCGCGTAGGCAGCCCCCGTGACAGCCTGGTTGGGCCCCCCTGCTCTGAGCACAGCCCGCCCCTCATGGCACCGACTCGAACTTGGGGGGCCCACGCGCCCAGCTGAGCGCCGGCAGCGGCCGCTCGTGGTCCTTGTCGGACTCGGGCTGGCTCTGGGCCCGCTCGGGCTTGGGGTTGGCGGGCGGGTCGGGCTGCTGCACCGACATGGTCCTGCGCAGGTGGTTGCGCTTCCGCAGGAACTCGGGCTGGGCGTGCAGCCCGAAGCTGCCCTTGCGCAGGATCATGCGCGAGTTGTTCTTCTTGGGGCGCGAGCGGTGGCTGGCCTCCAGCGCGGCCAGGTGTGCGGCGTAGCCCTCGCTCAGGAACTGCGGAGGAGACAGGCATCAGGCCAGCAGGCCCTGTCCCCACAGCATCACTACTTCCCAGGAACACTGGACCAGGGTGTCTCCAGCTTCTCTGAGGAACCCCATTCCAGAGTCCCCACTCCACCGCGCACCTCTCTCTGCACCCGTGGGTCAGGGCATGGTCCTCAGCTTGAACTTTCTTTC